TTTGTGTTGTATGACTGGCAGTAACAGCCAGGTGAGTGCCCTTGTGTAGCTAGGACACAGGCCTATTTTACTATCACATCGTTTAACCTAATGTAAAGTGCCTTGAGTCAGAATCTCTGGTGGTTGCTCCCCACCAGCTCTCCTACTTCTGTCCCTGCTGGAGCTGCACTGGCAGTAACGCAGCATTAGGAATATAACAGTGACCCCCAGTCCTTAGGGTCCATGAGCAGGTGTGAACTCCATGTCTCTGTGTGCAGACAGATATAACAAGAATGTCACTGATAGGGGACCGGTTCACTGGTTCAACCAGCCCCCCCGGCCACACAATCCCACCCAGTTAACCCTGCTGGGGTCTTGGGCAGAGCAAGGCCGAGCCCATGAGGTGGGGGGCTCCATTTCCCCCACCTGCCCAGCTCCAGGAGCAGCAGCCATGAGGTTGCCATTGTCTATGGCCTTGGGCAGGGGAAGGAACAGAGACCCCCACCAAAAGGTCCTGGCCCAGCTACCCTTGCTGGGGTCTTGTGGGGAGATGGGCTGGGCCTGTGAGGCAGGGGGCTCCATTTCCAACCCCCCATTTCCCCAGCTCCAGGCATGGCAGCCTCTGTTACTATCAAGACACTCGAACGAGGGGCGGGTGGGGGAAAGGAGCTCTCTGCACGGTGTGCACCTGGCTTGGCTCCCCACAAGACCCTAGCAGTGGTAGCTGGGGGAGGGGGGGTGGCCACATGCACCAGGTGGGGCTCCTTTCCCCCACCCCACTTCTTTCTGCCCCACTGTGCAGGGAGGAGACAGAAGTTTTATGTCTCTTCTCTGTGACAGCCCTATGGCGGGGCGGGGCTGAGCCAGTTTTCGCCTGCACAAGCACCAGTTCAGCTTGCAAAGTCACAAGGATGCAGGCAGTATCACTCAAAATTAACCTTCTCAGGTTAATCACCCAAAATTAACCTAAGGTGCTCTGCCCTATAGAGTGCCCCTGTCTGGTACTTCATCGGATGAAGGTTAAATTTTCATGTGATTTGCCATTTTAAAAGCATTCTCTAGCCATAAATATTTGTTATGTTATAGCTATAGAGCACTTCTAGGGAACTCATCTCATGAAAAATGTAAAATGTACTGTAAATGCCCTTTGTCAGGCCATGAGCCAGAACAACCTCGCTCAGTTCCAGTGCTAGTCTGGTGGCTTTTGTGGCATGACAAGTAGATAGGTGGGGTTTCCATTGTCCACACCAGGGCCAGGCAGCTGGGAGTTGCTCTGGCACCACTTTTCCTAGCCTCCTGCTCCCTGGCTGGAATGGGAATTCAGCTTTCAGTCAGAAGGGAGCTGCACCCACACTGCTGCTGCCACTTTTCCCCAGGCCCCCACTCCATAGATGCGGGGCCACAGCTTCCAGCTGGTGGGGAGCTACACTGGGGCAGGCAGCTGGAAGCTGCATCCACCCTTCTTCTGCTTCTCCCAGCACTTCCCACATTTTGGCTTCAGTGTGAGTGCAGCTGGAAGTTGCCCAGCCCCAGCTCAGTTCACCAGCAGCTGGAAGCTGCACCTGCATGGTACCCAGGGAATAGGGGTGGGGAGGAGCAGAGGTGATGAGGGCGCAGCTTTCAGGTGCTCATCTCTACTGAAGCTCCTCACTGGGAGTGAGCAGGGGAAGGGTCTTCCAGCTCTGCAGGCCAGATCCACTGGCTCTGTGGGCCTTATGTTGCCAACCCCTGTTGTAAGTAGAACGGCTACCTTTTGGGGATTGCACTGCTGCCAGAACACCACTGAGGGTGGTAGAGTACTTAGGCCATTGTGCCTTCCAGGGGTCAGTTCCTGGAGTTTTCCCAGGACTTCTCTAGGAGAGGAAGACCTGGATTGGCTGGACACCAGGGAAGAGGAAGAAGTCATGGCCTACAAATGCAATTTCTTATCTTTCTCAAAAAAAAAAAAGAATAAAAAAAGACTGTTTGAGTTTAATAAGGAATATAATTACACTTCACCAAAATCTCTGGGATGGTTCCCTGATTGCGAATGCACTGGTGTGTGTGGGGGAGGTGGGGAGAGTGCAGCCTGACCCTGTGACAGGAAATGGACCTCACTCAGCCGAATCCCACGTTCATTTTGGGTGGGCGCGTGAGTGGAGAGATTGCCAGATGCTGGGGGAGCTGAGTGGCCCCCTTGCTTGTGGTTTCCAGGAGGCTGGTTGCTCCAGAGGCCCCTAAAATCTCCAACTTTATACGCCCTGCCCTGGAAAGCATCGCTGGCTGTTTTACCTGCCTGCTGAAACCCCTGCACTCCAGGGCCCCAGGCTGATTTGGGGTGGGATGGCAATAGAGTTATTATCAGCTGCTGCACGGGGAGAGGAAGAAGGGGGCTGTGTTGCCCACTACTTGTGGTGACCAGGAGGCTGTATGCTTCAGTACCTGGTTTTCCCAGTGTTGTCAGGAAGTTTAAACCAGCTTTAAGTGGCATGTACATCTAGACTTGTGGGGTTTAGAGTGTATTTAGAATTTTTCAAGGGTTATATCTGTTCACACACTCTGCCTACCTTTGCCTGCTTTATATGTGGTGAGGTTTATTATCTGCTCTCTTCTGCTTGAGAGAGGGAGAACTGCTATTTGACAAGCTCCACCCCAGAGGTCCCATCTACTGTTACTAGACTGAATATTTTTACAGTGAGGCGTGTTGTTCGATGTCACGTGGGAGTGATCCTTGCTTTTACCAGGCAGTATATAAAAGGGCTTAAATGTGGACACTTAGGCTGTTCAGAATAGCTCTGATCCATCTAAGCATTTGAATTCCTGCCTTTCTAGCACAGGTCCCACTGAACTTCAGCTGAACTGTTCACACTCCAAATTAAGCAAGTGAGTAAGAGTTTTGCTAACTGGGTGCTCCAGTATGGACACAAAGTTGGAAGATGCCAACCCAGCCTACTTTGAAGATGAAAAACCCTGCAGCTTGGAGTTGTGACAAAATGACAGTGATTCCTAGGACTCAGCCCTGGTCACTTGTGTTCATCTTCCAGGGACCTGAGCAGCACTTTTGTTCTCATTTATACCACAGCCATACAGCAACATGTGAGGCAGTAAAATGCTGTAGTGCAAGAAGAGTTGTTATGCCCCTTGTTCTCAAGGCCCTAAAGACTTTGCCTACTAATAGCTATGAATTCAGGAAGTACATTACCGTTAGCAATACTTTGTGTCCTGCAGGCCTTGCACTTCTCCTGGGGATCTGAATTGTTTTCTTCTTTGGGCTGAGTCTTGGGTTCAGTAGTATTACCTGCCTGGGAACCTGTGTACAAAGAAAAATTTCAAACCAACTCGTAATTGGATTGGAAGCAAAGCATTCTTTAGTCTGCTGAATGATAAAAATCTACTTCTTCACAATCTATTGAAAGCAGCTAAAACATGCCTCACGCAGGACAGAAGTGTTGTAGTGTAGGCATGAATGGGAAGGGGTATAGAATTTAGGAGAGGGCATGTCTAATTAAACTAACACAGTGAATTACCTCTCTAATTTTGATTCTTCCAGACACAACCTTAGCCCTTGTGTTTCATTTTCCCGCTCTCTTACATGGGGACAATAGCCACTTCTTCCAGGCTCCTGGGAAGCTTAATTCATCAATGATCGTAAAACTTTCTTTATAGAATAAAGGCTAGATTAGTGAAAAGTAGTATTTAGAATATTAAACCATTGGTCTTGGCTTTTATGAGGGAAAAGTTTACTTGGGGCTTCATATTCAGCATGTTGCCTGAATTCTGCTATTCCATGTAATGCTGCTGAGAGTAGAGACTTTTATATTTAAAGATTCCTAAAAATAAATCACTCAGGATTACATTTTAATTAAAAGGAAAACCCCTTGGGAACGCTTGGTAACTTGGAAAAGGAATATAATTCCATGTTCATCCAATTGCACATTCTGACCTGTTTGTGATTCTTCTATGTATTTTAAGAATAATAGCAGTTCTCTGAAGGTAGAGAAAATAATATTCCAAACAAAAGACCTGCTCCTGACAGTCCTGGGGACAGATGCTGCTGTAACTGTACCCTGTAACACAGTGTTGTTTCTATAGCTTCATGAAATGAAGACTAAATCTGAGGGTGCTAGGAATTTTCTTGGCCAGCATGTTGGGGAAAGTATCTCATTGTGAGCATGTCTACGTGTACTGTTAATGCGAAGCAATAAACTATGGTGCATCCATGCTGGAATTTCATAGATTTCTAGGGTCAGAAGGGACCTATTAGATCATCGAGTCCAACCCCTCCTTGAGGCAGGAAGGAGCGCTGGGGTCAAGTAACCCCAGCCAGGTGCTTGTCTAATCTCCTTTTAAATGCCTCCAAGGTAGAGGAAAGCACCACCTCACTTGGAAGCCCATTCCATATTTTAGCGACCTTCACAGTAAAGAATTTTTTCCTCATGTCCAATCTAAATCTGCTGTCCTTCAGTTTATGGCCATTGTTCCTAGTAACCCCAAAGGGCACCCTGGTAAACAGAGTATCTCCTGTTCCCTGCTGAACCCCACAGATGAGCTTGTAGACAGCCACAAGATCACCTCTCAGCCTTCTCTTGCGGAGACTGAAGAGATTCAGGTCCCTCAATCTGTCTTCATAGGATCTTACCTGCAGGCCCTCAACCATACAAGTAACCCTCCTCTGAACCCTTTCCAGGCTATCCACATCCCTCTTGAAGTACAGCACCCAAAACTGGACACAGTACTCCAGTTGCGGTCTCACCAATGCCGCATAGAGGGGAAGTATCACCTCCCTAGACCTGTTTGTGAGGCACCTACTAATGCAAGAAAGAGTGCAGTTAGCCTTACTTATCACATTGTCACATTGGTGACTCATGTTCATTTTTGCATCGCCTGTAACTCCAAGATCCCCTTCCACTACTGTGCTACTCAGAATGGTACTTCCCAGTCTATAGGTTTATTGGAGATGCTTTCTCCCCAGCAATTTGCAATTATCTTTGTTAAATTGCATCCTATTCTGATCCATCCATTTCCCCAGTCTGTCCAAATCCACCCGAATTTGCTCCCTACCCTCTAGTGTGTTTACTATACCCCATAGTTTGGTGTCGTCTGCGAATCTGGACAGAGTGCTTTCTACACCCTGATCTAAATTGTTGATGAAGATATTGAACAGTACTGATCCAAGGACAGAGCCTTGGGGGACACCACTGCTCACATCTCTCCAGGTAGAAACCAACCCATCGCACCACTCTCTGGGTGCGTCCCATAAGCCAGTTTTCCACCTACCTAACTGTGAAAAACTCCATGTCACAGCTATTTTGTTTATTTATAAGAATTGGGTATGACACTATCTCGAAAGCCTTTTTAAAACCAAGTAAATAACATCTACCTCTACTCCTGTATCTAAGCACTTTGAGACCTGGTCATAAAGAAACCAGGTTAGTCAGGCAGGATCTGCCGGCTATAAACCCATGCTGGTTGCCCCTTAGCATTGTGTTACCCACTGGCCCCCCACAAATATGATCCTTAGGATTTTTTCTTAGGGCTTGCCAAGAATAGAGGTGAGGCTAACCAGCCTATAATTACCCAGGTCTTCCTTCCTCCCCTTCTTGAAAATAGGGACCACATTGGCCCTTTTCCAGTCCTCTGGGATCTGTCCCGAGCACCATGAGCGCTCAAACAGTTGCACCAGTGATTTCACTATGACACCTACCAATCCTTTAGTACTCTTCGGTGAAGATCGTTGTGGCCCGCCAACTTAAATATGTCCAACCCCTCCAAGTGCCCCATTTATTCAGGAACATTGTTTCCTATGGGAAAATTGGTTTCGAGTTACAACATTTAAACTTAAGACGTGGTTTTCAGGAACCAATTGTGTCAGAAGTCCGAGGACTGCCTGTATTTTATCTTTTGTTTTCAGAATGTTTATACCCACCAGCACCTGCACTTCTAGT